GTCGGAATACTTGGTGATAACAGGCCATGTCTTGTCCCCCTGAGAATATGCGTCCGTCGCACATTTGAATAATTTGGACAAGTCAACGAGTATTAATTAATAGTATGTGGATAGCCACTTGGTATGCGTTCCAAGCACTCAAGCCTCTACATGAACGCTACGTACCTTATGGTCCACCGTTGGTGTGGTTCACCTGTCTGCTATGACGGCAGCGATAGATTTAAGTTATCGGTAACCAAAGCAAACAAATACACAATTATGCCTGCAACAAGTTTATAGAATGCTTAAAATCGGTACAGGAGGCGCATCAGCCTGGCGGCCAACCCAACTGTCGACCACCTATGACGTGCAGATGTAAATGATATACAGACTGACAGCCTTCTTTGCCATTGTTCACGACCACTCGGTACCCATTTTTCAGGCCCTTTTGGTCCGCAACAGTCTTTGCTACGAAGAGCAAATGCCCGAGAAGCTAGGATGTATAGAGACAAAAAATAATAACTACCGATTCGTCCTCTTTTTTGGCCGAACCAAGCATTTCTATTGGCTTTTTGGGTATTACCAGGAAGTGCACAGGGGCTTGAGGTGACACATCATCAAATGCCATGCATTGGTCATCCTCGTAAACGATCTTCGCAGGGATTTCCTTGCGGGCAATCTTTCCAAATATGGTATCACCCCCAGCGGGGGCCGCCGTTTGAGCCTTCTCAACCTCTGACGACATTCGCAAGGCAAAGGGATACCTCCCAATCTAAAAAATGTCCTACAGGCGAAAAACTCACCACCGAGCTGACAACCGGACTTAACCGTCTAATTAAAATGCTCATTTACCAGACAGTTCAATAAAACGCACCGTCGTTTTTGAAACCTAGATTGACACAGCTTAGACTGGGCCTCGATATTGTGTCCACCGATTAGTTCATTGTATAAATAACGATGTTCTATTAGTTTTGTCAACTTTACTTCTGAGAAACCTCCCATTTTCTAAATTAATAGGTAGTCTGTACGATGAGGGCTCGAAAAACGAGCTTAAGATTTCAAGAATCAGAATTCCGAGATAAGCATTATATGCCACGTTGTGCTCATCGGAATGAGTTTATTTTTTCGGCACCGTTTTGGCCAGCTGGGCCGGTGTAATGACCCTGATTGAACCATCCATATACTGCTTGTGTATAATTACTAGATAAGCACAGATTAGACTACCTCGGCTATTGCTACCTGTATAATTAATACATAATCACAGATTAGACTATCTCCTTTATTGCTGCCTGTTCTTATCAACCCTGAAATAGTTTATAATACCCTAATAGCAATGCAGCGCGAAATGCCTAATAGAGAGTGATGAACAGAGTACAGAGTACGTTGGCAAGATTGGCCGTACGCAAGATCTGCGACGTTGGCCAGATTGGCAAACCAGGGGACATGCATATTTGAAAAAAATGCCTAAGGAAGCGGAAGCGATCAAATCTGGTCAAAAAAAGCCAAATTCTC